TCTTTGGTTGCTATAGTGGAGGAAACTACAGTAAATTGTCTCTCGTGTCTTTTTTGTTTCTTTCTTCCATACAAAAATTCTTCCACAATTTTTCCTCTAAAGGGAAACAAACTATGGAAAAGGGGAATAGAAGCCATTTCTAGGAAAAAGAAATAAATTCCTAGTTAAGAATAAAAACCCAAATTAAACTGAATCATATTCTTAGTCATCCTATTAAAACTAGTCACTTTGTCCACCTAAAATATATGGAATATAAGTTTCCTGTTACACCAAGATTCTACAGAGAGCTAAGCGATCTTTTAAGGAGAGGGATGACCATAAAGTTACGACTTTAACTTTGGAATGAAATAGACCAAAGCATTAAAAAATCTATCTCACCAGTGCTGTGGTATATTAGGCTAAGCCTCCACCTGAGGCGCCAGCATCCCATATGGGCACCAGTTCAAGTCCCAGTTGCTCCACTTCCGATCCAGCTCTCTGCTATGGCCTGGGAAAGCAGTAGAAGATGGCCCAAATTCTTGGGCTTCTGCACCTGCATGGGAGACCTAGAAGAAGGTCCTGGCTCCTGCTTCAGATTGATCTGGCTCCGGTTGTTACAGCCATTTGGGGAGTGAACCAGAGGATGGAAGATCTCTCTCTCTCTCTCTCTCTCTCAAATAAATAAATAAAATCTTTTTTAAAAAAAGATCTATTTATGAAAAAGAAATATCTGCCACTTATCAATTGTGAACTTGGACCAGGTGTTTATAACCTCTATATTTATGTTATATCCATAAAATGGGAACGATTTTAGCACCTACCTCAGATGTCTAATTCAAAGAATAAAGAAGATAATGTACCCAGAGCTCTAGGCACAATTCCTAGCACAGAGTAAGCCCTCAATACATGTCTGCTGGTAGAAGCAGTGGTAATAGAAACAACAACAACAGTAGACATCTAGACTGTTGTCCAAACTTCATTTCATCTATCCAGTCTTAAACCCAAAAACCTCACTGGGAGTAATCCCCCAAATCTGCCTCTCCTCTCTTATCAAGGCAGAGGAGAGGACTAAACTGGACTATACCTCCATTCCCTTTGATTTTATCACTTCCAGTGGGAGGAACCAAAGAGCAAACATGCCATCTCCAGGCACTCTCTTCCCCTGGTGTGGTGACCTTGAAGCCATGCATCAGCACACAGAAGGCCTGGATTCTGAGTCACTGCATGGAGAAGGGCTGTCTTGGGGAGTCCCTTGACCTGCTCTAAACTTCCATACTTTAGGCAAGTAAGAAATACATCTATTTTCTCTCTCTCTCTCTCTCTCTAATAAATAAATAAACAATAAAATCTTTTTTTTTTTTTTTTTTTTGGTTTGGACAGGCAGAGTGGACAGTGAGAGAGAGAGAGACAGAGAGAAAGGTCTTCCTTTGCCGTTGGTTCACCCTCCAATGGCCGCCGCGGCCTGCGCGCTGCGGCCGGCGCACCGCGCTGATCCGATGGCAGGAGCCAGGAGCCAGGTGCTTTTCCTGGTCTCCCATGGGGTGCAGGGCCCAAGCACCTGGGCCATCCTCCACTGCACTCCCTGGCCACAGCAGAGGGCTGGCCTGGAAGAGGGGCAACTGGGACAGAATCCGGCGCCCCGACCGGGACTAGAACCCGGGGTGCCAGTGCCGCAGGTGGAGGATTAGCCTAGTGAGCCGCGGTGCTGGCATAAGGACTCTCTCACTGTCCACTCTGCCTGTAAAAAAAAAAAAAAAAAAAAAGTTGCTGCATGCAACACCAGCATCCCCAATGGGTACCAGTCCGAATCTCGGAGGCTCTAATTCTTATCCAGCTCCCTACTAATGTTCCTGGGAAAACAGCAGAAGGTGGCCTAAGTGCTTAGGCCCCTGCCACCCATGCAAGAGACCTGGATGAAGCTTCAGGCTCCTGCTTCAACCTGGCCCAGCCCTAACCATTGCCACCATTTGGGGAGTGAACCAGCTGGTGGAAGATCTATCTATTCTCTTGTTCTCTTCTCTTCTCTCTCTCGTTTCCACTTTCTCACTTTCTCACTTTCTCTCCCCACCCCCCAACCCTGTCTTTCAAGTAAATAAATAATAAAATCCTTCTATAAAAAAGAAAGAAAGAAAAGAAATACATGTCTGGTGTGTTGGGCCACTGCGATTTGCCATTTCTTGGTTGCTTGTAGCAGAACTTACCCTATCCTGACCAACAGGGACTCAGATGCTTCTAAACAGGATCCTAATATACATCCAAGACTGGAAGAAAGAGTGCTTCAGTTTTCTACAAATTACTTGCCTCTTATCAATCTTTATATTTTTTACAATACCATATCATATTATAAGTAAATTGAGTCTACAAAGTCTCTATGCTTCTATCTTTTTATATGCTTTCACTTAAAAGAGAAAATAATTACATTTTACTTATATTTAATAGGTTAACACTGGGGTTTTCATGAGATCATATGTTACACACTCACTTGTAACAATACCCACAGCATCCTGGCATCCTGTGATCACAGTACAGAGTCCGTGTGAGAGGGTAACAGTAGCTCCCTCAAGCACTCACTCTCTCCCAGTTTCTGGTAACATGGGGCAATCAGGTGGAATTATGGATACTACCTGGAGTAAACTGAATTATCCCTGACAAAATGAACAAGTGGCTTTTACTGAAAGTAAAAATGCTTTTGTGTATCATTAAAATTTGCCTCAATATACAATTTATTTTACTTCATCTCATCCATATTTAAATATTAATATCTAGAAGACACATAATAGGCTTGCACTGTAGCACCTCATATAATTTATAAATACATATATATGTACAATTAAGAGTCTGCTCCAAAATAAATTTAATGATAAAAGCATAAAAGTCATTTTGGCGTTGACAGCTTAGAGAATGCCTTTCAAAGTTTTTGTAACTATTTATATCATTCCTTAACTTTTTTAACTATTGTCCAAAAATCTAAAATGAGGACAAAACCAACACAGAACAGGGGGTGAATGCATAACATAGTAACAGGCTCACAAAGACATTATGAACCAGCAAAGTCAGAAAAAACCAGAAATGATAGTGAAGAGCACAGATTTGATTTAGGAGTGAAGAACAAAGCTTTCTGTTCCAACTAAAAAAAAATCTCATTTCCACATCTGAAAACCAGCAATGGCTCTGTGAGACAGTCAAAGCGATAAGGTGATTGCAAAGGATTGCTTTCTGCACATAAAAGGAGAACAAGGGGCAGATTTTTTTGCAGGTCACAAATGCCTCCACAGGAGCTTAGACTCCAAAGACATCTCCAAAGGCAGTTTCTAGCGAGGGAAATATATAGGTGGTTCAGCAGATAACCCCAAGAAAACCTGAGAACTTCATTAGGCCAGCATCAAGACCAATTGGAGAATCACAGATTCAGCCAAGTAGAGTTATCTCACATTTCCAAAGAAAGTTAAATGATACCTGGAGATTTATAAGCCAAATGGCAAAGCTTCCTCTGCTCCTCATCTCTTAGTTCCTCTTTCACCACCAATGAGAAGTGAGTCTTGGATTTAAACCCAAGCATACCTGACCCCCAAGCCCTTAAAAAAAGTACCAGCATATAAAATGGGCCTCCCAAGATATGTAGGCTTTAAAAATACAGACTGATAGAAACGGAAGTGACAAGAGGAAAAAGAGGTATGAAAAAGCCAACCAGGAAAAGGGAGCAGCAAGAGCAAAGGTATTGAGGTTGGAGACCCTGAGTATATGTGAGAGTCACCAAGTGTTCGTACAGGTAGCATAGACATGAAGGGAGGTAGTACTAGAAAAGGCTGGAAAGACTGGCCCAGGCCTTCCAGTGCAAGGTGTGACAGGCTCAGTAAAGGAAGTAAAGAGTAATTACAGGGGGCCGGTGGTATGGCATAGCAGGTAAAGCTGCTGACTCCAGTGCCAGCACCCCATATAGGCACCAGTTCAAGTCCCAGATGCTCCACTTCCAATCCAGCTCTCTGCCATGGCCTGGGAAAGCAGTGGAAGATGGCCCAAGTCCTTGTGCCTGCATGGGAGACCCGGAAGAAGCTCCTGGCTCCTGGCTTCAGATCAGGGCAGCTCCGGCCGTTGCAGCCATTTGGGGAGTGAACCAATGGATGGAAGACCTCTCTCTACCTCTCTCTCTCTCTCTCTCTCTCTCTCTCTCTCTGCCTCTGCCTCTCTGTAACTCTTTCAAATAAATAAATCTAAAAAAAAAAAAAAAAGTAATCACAGAATCACAGAGAGCTTTAATGCATGGTAATGGCCTATCTGCAGGCAAACATGGGGAAACTAACCTTGTTGTGACATGAAGGATGGGTCAGTGAAGAGTAAGAAGGTACTTTGCACACAGAGTAGGTAGGTTTTTTTTTTAGTTTTTTGTCAAGCTTTTGTATTGTTTACATGTGTGTTTGTGTGTGTGAATGAATGTGCGCAATGGGGCACCATGTAAACAGAGTAGTTAATTAATATTGAATGGATCAAGACAGTAAGACTAAATTAAAATTTACTGTGTGTCTCTAACATGACATCAAATCCATTGAATCCCATCCCATTCCATATTGCTCCATTTGCCACTTAGAGAACAAGCCCTATCCATTTCAGAAGGAAATAACACTGCTGGTGTTCTCTAAAAAATCTATTCACCACTCAAAGGTGGCCCTCTAAATGGTCTACTCTTGCAGAAATTAACATTTTCCTCTTCTATTCAGAGAGAGGTACATTTGAGATGCTGCAACTGTTGAAAAAGAAAACAAAATTTACCAAGTTCAAAATTTAGGCAATAAGTAACCCCCACACACACACACTTCTGCAAAGATTGGAAAAAAGGAAACCATAAGTTGTGACCTCATATTTCTTATACTGTCTTATAATGCCAAAGTTAAATACATTCTAAGATAAAACCTTTTTGATGATGCCAAAGTTTTTCTTCTGCACAGGTCAAGGTGCCATCTGCACAGCATCAACTACTCAGTGAGAAGCTAAGGCTGAAAAATGCGGAGGAAGTCATAACCTACCTGATTTTCTTCATGGGAAACCCTCATCTGCTCCTTGAGGACAGACATCCGAGCTGCCTCTTCTTTCCTCAAGACTCTCTCTTTCTTAAGCTCAGGACTCCAGAATGTCTTGATGCTGTTCATGGAAGATCCCAACTTGCTGTCCTTGATGTCCAGCTCTTTCCGGAGGAGGTCATTCTCTCTCTGAAGTTCCTTTAGCTGGGCTTGAAGATCCAACATTGTGCTATCTCTTACCTGCCTCAACATGGAGGGGACCTGGTGGTGGTGATGATGGGTTGAGCTGGTCAGACCACCATGTTGATCCATATATGAAAGGACATCTGTGTGGGAAAGTCCAGCGGAAGCAATATTGGGACTGCTCCCCATGGCTGTGACTCGGCCTCCATATACAGCTCGATTTGTGGCCCTGCCCAGAGTCATGGTGCCCTTTGGGTAAGTTGTTGAAGCCACTCCCTCATGATCACTCAGATACATGGGTCCAGACGTAGCATAGGCTGCATTAAGAGACTGGATGTTTTCCATAGACAGAGTCTTGCCCGTTCCTCCACCTCCCCCACTACTTGTTCTCCTATGGCCCAAACGAGGTGACCTTGGCAAACGAGGAGACCTGGAAGGACTACCTTCCAGGTTGGTGATTGTTCTTGCACTTCCATACATTTTTCTTGTATTATGAGTTACTATTCAAGAGACGAAATGCTATACTAAGTTGGGGCTTATGTCAATATTTCCACTGTTGACCAGAATTTTCAATGCATTCTTGTCGTAGTCTGTACCAGAAAATGACTCCAATCAAAGATCTGCAAAATGAAAACAGTGATAAGTAAAAACAAACTTATTTAGAAATCTGACTACAACTACATGACATTTTACAATATATAGACAGGTAAATGGTTATATTGAGAGATAAATGATCATTCCACCTATGAAGTTCATGTAAAAGGAAAAGTAACCCCAAAACTTTACTAATTACAGGTACATTTTTACAAATTCTCCCACCCTACTCCTAAGCAAGTTTTGAGCAAAAAACAGGCTTTTTTTTCTCTCAGGAAAATAAAGCTATCCATTTTGATTTGTGGTATGTTACAGTTTGGATCACTAGAAAGTTCACCAAAGATTCCCCACCATGGAAATATTAGCAATAAAATAATCCATCATCAAGTACATGAATCCATACATATGAAGCCTGACAGTCACTCGAAGAAATTGCTGCTTCCTAGGATACAGAATTTAAGTATTTGGAAAGCATCTGTTACCTTCCTCTCCAGTACCCTTTACAGACATCACGAATTAATCACAGTCCTTTTTCCCACTAGGTTCAGAACTCTCCCCTCATAACACTCTAAATGGTTGACCCTCAATCAACTGGAACTGACACATGTTAGCCATCTTGGAACTAGACAAAGCAGCAGCTCAATGAATGAGACACTGACACATCTAGCCAGATCCCCATTATTGTCACCAGAGAAAACATTTAGTCCTGTCTTGTTCTACTTCCACACACATTTTCTAAGTCTTTTTAAGAATTTTTTCCCATTTCAGTTAACCTTAATATTCATGTTAACTTGAGGCCAGCATTACGGCTTAAGCCACCACTTGTGACAATGGCATCCCATGTCAGTGGCTGGTTCAAGTCATGGCTACAATCTAGCTCCCTGCTAATGTGACTGGGAAGGCAAAAGAAGATTGCTCAAGTGCATGGGCCTCTGCCATTCAGGCTGGAGACCTAGATGGAGTTCCTGGCCCCTGGCTTTAGCCTGGTGCAGCCCTGATCATTGCAGTCATTTGGAGAGTAAACCAGCAGTTAGATGGTAGGTATCTCTTTCTCACTCATCATCCCTCCCTCCTTTCAAATTTGCCTTTCAAATAAATAAATAAATTTTAAGAGCTATTCATATTATCCATTTCACAATTATACAGAAATCAAACAAAGGAAAAATATACCAGGTTACAGCTCCTTGTCCCATAATCCCTACAGAAAAGCAATAGAATGTCCCTGTGATGATCACTCAAGTGTATTAGTGGAAATTTTATGTATCTGGGGCTACAGGGTTGTGATTATTCCTTCAATATTAGAATCTGAATGGCCTGGGGTGTGGCATATAGCTTGTGTTCTTTCTGTTATAGGGTCTTTAGTATACTTTTTTCTTTAGCTTTATAATCAAAAGAGAACAGACTCTTTAAAAAGGACAAACTGGAGTTGAAATCTCCACTCTAACACTAACCAGCTGAGTGACTCTAGGCAATTCTTTAACTGTAGGAAATTCCACTTTCCAAGTGTGAGAATGCAAAGCAATATCACTCAACTCATAGCATTGTAAAAAAAAAAAAAAAAAATACATGGGGCTGTCTCTGTGGCCTAGCAGGTAAAGCCACTGCCTACAGTGCTGGCATCCCATATGGGCGCCAGTTCGAATCCAGGCTGCTCCACTTTTCATCCAGCTCTCTGCTATGACCTGGGAAAGCAGCAGAAGATGGCTCAAGTCCTTGGGCTCCTGCACCCACATGGGAGACCCAGAAGAAACTCCTGGCTCCTAGCTTCACATGGGCCCAGCACCAACTGTTGCCAATCAGGGAGTGAACCAGTGGATGGAAGATCTCTCTCTCTCTGCCTCTCCTCTCTCTGTGTAACTCTGACTTTCAAATAAATAAATAAAACTTTTAAAAAATTACATAAGATGATGTTGATAAAATACATACTTTGGTACTTAGCACAGAACAGTCGATAACTAGTTTTTCCTGATAGTGTCTCAATGAGATAAGTACATTACCAGCAATGCATGGGGCATCTCTTCTTTTTACGTGCCTATCCATATCTCCTCTCACTCAACCACCCCTCCCCAACACATACACACATACACTTTCTGGTAGTACTATCTCTATTTTCCTTACAGAAATTGTTCCCAAGCCCTTCTTCACAGTTCATAAGATATAAATAAGGCTTATTCCCTTTGTTCCACCCTGGATACTGCCAGGCATGAGAACATGGCCCCAGTCTGGCCAACCATCATACTCCATTCTCCAGATAACAGTAGTTAGTTTAGGGCTGCACATGTGACTAACTGGTTTATAACAACTCCATATCATGACTTTAGCTGGGACCACTTAGAAAGATAAACGCCTTTGCAGCTAGAATTATTTGCTTGGAAGATGGAGCTCTGAGAACCACCATGTGGGAAGGGCCTCCCTGAGAGAGAATTTAGGGCAAAGGAAAACAGAGCTAAACTTTGAAACCAAGCTGATACTCCGGATCCAGCAGTCACTGACAATAATCTAATCCCAGGTAGACTGATAGCATTAACGGCAGTGCCCTCTCAATTTGATTCTAGGTTCACTGATACAACCCGCTCTGGACAGTAAGGTGACAGAAAATTTGAAACAAGTAGTGGCCTCAAATGTACTTCTGTGTTTATTTTCTTACTCATTTTCTTCCTTCACAGCAATTAGTATACGACCAGTCTATCCTGATGGAAGATGAGAAACATAAAATGGAGCCAAATCACCCCAACCAATAACCAACCAACCCCAAGACTGTGAGCAAGCCCAGCCAAGATCAGCCAAGCTGCACAGTCAACCAGCTGCTACCTGCAGAGCCAAGAGCCCAGCTGAGCACCACATACTCAACAGACTAGATGCTTCTTAGTGTGTCACTGATATATTTTGTGATCAGTAGCATTCCTGGGGCAATGGATAACTGAAACATTTGTCCATAAATCCCTTTTGTACTACATTCAGTTCTAGTATGGGTTCTGTAACAAATATCCTAAAGAGTCTTCATAGGGGCCGGCACTGTGGCACAGCAGGTTAAAACCCCAGCCTGCAGTGCCGGCATCCCATATGGGCACCAGTTCGAGTCCCAGCTGCTCCTCTTCCAATCTGGCTCTCTGCTGTGGCCTGGAAAAGCAGTAGAGGATGACCCAACTCCTTGGGCCCCTACACCCACATGGCAGACCCAAAAGAGTCTCCTGGCTTCAGACTGGCCCAGCTCTGGCCATTGTGGTCGTTTGGGGAGTGAACCAGCAGAATAGAAGACCTCTCTCCCTCCCTTTGGCTCTACCTCTCTCTGTAACTCTGTATTTTAAGTAAATAAAATAAATCTTAAAAAAAAAGAATCCTCATAAATATTATGCAGAAATGTTTTCCATTAAATCTTCCCTTCTCCCTAAAAAAATTTAAAAACAATCATATACCTGTTCTAAGAAAATTTGTTTTAATGTTTCTCAAAATTTAATTTTGCTTTCCTTGAAAATATATAAAAATCATTTTGTACTTAAGAAGTTTTCATAAATGATTTGTTCTGTTAAAAAAAATCAATGGGCCGGCGTAGCGGCTCAATAGGCTAATCCTCCACCTGCAGCGCTGGCACCCAGGGTTCTAGTTCCGGTCGGGGCACCAGATTCTGTCCCAGTTGCCCCTCTTCCAGTCCAGCTCTCTGCTGTGGCCCAGGAGTGCAGTGGAGGATGGCCCAAGTGCTTGGGCCTTGCACCCGCATGGGAGACCAGGAGAAGCACCTGGCTCCTGGCTTCAGATCAGCGTGATGCACCAGCCGCAGCGCGCTGGCCGTGGCGGCCATTAGAGGGTGAACCAACAGCAAAGGAAAACCTTTCTCTCTCTCTCTCTCTCACTGTCCACTCTGCCTGTCAAAAAAATTAAAAAATTAAAAAATTAAATAAAATAAATCAACAGTTCCAACAGTATGAACTCAATTACACAAATGATGAGACAGACAGAAAGAATGTGATGGTCTCATGAATATTTAATAATATTAAGTCTGAAGCCAGGAGCTCCTTCCGGGTCTCCCATGAGGGTGCAGGGGCCCAAGGAATTAGGCCATCCTATACTGTTTTCCCAGGCCACTGCTGGGAGCTGGATCAGAAGTAGAGCAAGTGGCACTTGAACCAGCTCCCATATGGGATGTGGGCACTGCAAGGATCAGCTTTACCCACTATGCCACAGCACTGGCCCCTCCTTAACATTCCACATGAGCACTGGTTTGAGTCCTGGCTGCTCCACTTCCAATCTGGCTCCCTGCTAATGCACCTGGGAAGACTGCAGAAGATGACCCAAATGCTTGTGCCCCTGACACCCACATGGGAGACCCAGATGAATTCTGGGCTCCTGACTTCAGCCTGACCCAGTCCCAGCCATTGCAGCCATTTGGGGAGTGAATCAGTGGATGAAAAATCTATCTCTCTCTTTTTTCTCTTTCTCTCTTGCTGCCTCTCACTCTCTCTCTGTAACTCTGCCTTTAAAATAAATAAATCCTTTTCAAAAATATTAAAATCACTCTATCTTGTTCTTGGTGTTATTTGTATTGCTCTGTTTCTTTAGATGGCAATATGACAAATATATTTGTCTATTTTCTTTGTGTTCCCATAACACAGCTTTTGCTTTTACTGCTACATTTTACTACATTGTGTTTTCCATCTCATTGATATCTCTTTATCCTTAATGATCATTTCTTTTTCCTTTGTGTTTATTGTTTTTTGCCTTTCTGAATTGAATATTCATTCATCTCCAATCACAATTTCTAAAAAATACATATAAGATTACATACATGGCAGCATATCCCAAGATTATATGTATAATATTCTTATTGTCATCAATAAATAGCTTGCTGTTCTCTTTTGAATTTTTTTGTCCCCAGAATTATTTAGAAGAACATTTTTAAATATCAAAGTGGACAGATATTTTGGGGTACAACTTTGTAGGCCAAATTTTATATGTCATGATCACAGAGTAGAACAGATACATTTTCTAATTTTGGAAATCTGCTAAGAAATTATAATTCACCCAAAAC